GAAAACCATTCCACCCCCCTCCAGCTCTAATCTGTGTATTTACAGACCTTAAAACAAACCTGCTTTGAGTTTGGTTCTAATGACTGAAGAAATATGTTCTGAGGGAGCTTGATATTCTCTGTACCAGTTATTATTATTATTTCTATTAAAGTAGGGGGGTGGGAAACTGGGAATCAGGACACCCAAGTATGGCAGCACAACGGGGCCCCAACTGTGATCAGGCCCCATTATGCCGGGTGCTGCCCAGACACACAGCAAGAGACAGTCCCTGCCCCCCTGAGATCAGGGCCCCTTTATGCAGGGTGCTGCCCAGACACACAGCAAGAGACCTGAGAGTCCCTACCCACCTGAGATCAGGGTCTCTATCACACAGAGCATACAACTAAATAGACACTTTCCTGAGAACCAGTCGAATACTTGTTCTGGGCTGGATCTCCCTGCCTCAGTTGACTGATGGCCCCAATTTACTGCCCTTCACAGTCAATATGATTAGATCTGACCCACATTTCTTCTGACTGAAAATGAAGCATTATGCTGTAAGCTCGTTGGGGTGAAGACTGTGCTTTTGGTCTGTGTTTGTACAGCACTTGGCACAAAGAGGTCCTGAACCACCCCTGGGATTCCGGGTGCTGTTGCAATAGAAATAATGCCACTAATTATGGAAACGTGAGCTAACGAAGACCTTGTTAGCGTAAGAAAAAAAGGAGAGATGATTCCCTTAGTCACACATGCAATGAGGAGAAGACGAATTGGAAAGAGATAGGCTCATCTCCCAGAGTGGAGGGGCAGAGCCTGCTCTCAGTTACATCAGTCTCAATCCAGAGTTACTCCCCTGACTGCAATGGATTTACTCGGGTTTTACACTTGTTTGAGAGCAAAATCTGACCCAGCGATTCCAGACCCCATTGCCTTGTACTGGGGTCCATAGACTATCTCTGTCTCACTACCTCCCATGGTGCCCAGCTTTTCTCTGACCTCCTTGTCTGTGCCTTCCAGGTGAGAGGGCACCAAAAGCAGCTCCCAGTGAAGGTATCCAGAACCTTGTCTGTAAGTGAGTCTCAGGGCACCATCATGATTGTCCAGGGCTCTAGAATAAAGATTCTGTTCAGCCTGAGCGGGGAGGTGACAGTGACAGTCAGCGAGAGCCTGGCTAACAAGCTGTGTGCACCTTGCGGGAACTTCAATGGCGACATCTCCGACGACCTGCGGCTGCCCAGCGGGCAGGTTGTGGGGAACATCACGGACATGTTTGAATCTTGGAGGGCACGAGACCTCTCAAGAAGGTAAGGGGCTTTCAAAGGGCTGCTCCTTCTAAGACAGCATGGCCATTCACTCCCCACAGGTGTGATCATGTGGTTGGCCTGGTTCATAGATTCCATATGTTCCAAGGCCAACAGGGGCCATTGTGACCTGCCTCGAAATAATTCCTGTTAGAGCAGATCTTTTAGAAAAGCATCCAGGCTTGATTACAGAATGCTCAGTGCTGGAAACCACAGGCCATGGCTACCTGCAGTGCCACTTTTGTTGGAGTAAAGACAATGGCTCTGATTCTGTTCTGTGCCACCTTTGCCCTGCTTCTGCTTCAGCCCCTGGCATATATTAGAGCAGCCACGGGCTGCTTTAGTTTATAACAGGGCTGCTTCACAGCCTGGATCAGCCCAGAATTGCTGCAGGGCCGCAGACTGTGAAGACTAGCCCTCTCGCCCTATGACCCATACCCTTGGGCTTATCAGGTGGACAGCACAGGTCTGCCCCTGTCAACCCTACACAGCTCCTTCCCTGGGGCAATTCTTCTTGTGTAACTTTTATGGCTCCAGAGTGAGGTGCGGGGCTGGGGTAGATGCTCTCAGTCATTGTAAGGACTCTAGGGTTCTTGATGACCCCAGTGTCAGTGGAGTGTGATGGGTTGGATCACAGAAAACCCCTTGGGAACTGCCAACTGATGTGCTGAGACTACTTCTAACCCGTTTTCCCTGCCAGCTTGGGACTCCAGAACCTTGCCAGATTGAGCCAGACATGCTAGCCTGTTACAAACCCAGACCCAAGTCTGAACCACATCCCCCAACAGCTGCAGGCTTAACTGAAAACAGCTCTAACACTCAGATGGCCAGCTCCCAATGGGGTCCAAACCCCAAATAAATCCGTTTTGCCCTGTATAAAGCTTTATACTGGGTAAACTCATAAATTGTTTGCCCTCTATAACACTGATAGAGAGATATGCACAGCTATTTGCCCCCCAGGTATTAATACATAATCTGGGTTAATTAATAAGTAAAAAGTGATTTTATTGACTACAAAAAGTAGGATTAAAGTGGTTCCAAGTAATAACAGACAGAACAAAGTAAATTACCAAACAAAATAAAATAAAACACGCAAGTCTAAACCTAATAAAGTAAGAAAGTGATTACAGATGAAACCTCACCCTCAGAGATGTTCCAGTAAGCTTCTTTTACAGACTAGCCTCCTTCTAGTCTGGGTCCAGCAATCACTCACACCCCCGTGGTTACTGTCCTTTGTTTCAGTATCCTTTGGGGGAGAGGCTATCTCTTGAGCCAGTTGAAGACAAAATGGAGGGGTTTCCAGGGGCTTAAATAGAATTCCTCTTGTGGTGGAGACCCCCTCCGGTCTCCTAAGCAAAATCCAGCTCCAAGATGGAGTTTTGGAGTCACATGGGCAAGTCACATGTCCATGCATGACTCAGTTTTTACAGGCAGCAGCCATTGCCCACATGCTATCTTAAATGTCTCCAGGAAGACTTCTTATGTGGATTGGAGTCTTCCAAGATCCATTGTCAATTAAGTGGTTTTTGATTGGGCACTTCATTTGCACATTCCTTTCTCAAGAAGCTGACCAAATGCTTTACTAAGGCTACTTAAACTCAAACAAGTTCCCAGCCAATATTCATAACTTCTAATACAAAAATGATACATGCATACAAATAGGATGAATATATTCAGTCGATTGTAACCTTTGCAGAGATATGTTACATGGCATATGTAGCAAAAAGCATATTCCAGTTATGTCATATTTACATTCATAAGCATATTTCCATAAAGCGTTATGGGGTGCAACGTCACATGGTGTTCACTGGATTTCATTCCAGTTTGCTGGAGGGAGTCTCATAAAATATTTTGAGGTGGTTGGATGAAAAGTGCTGTCAATCTCAATCCGCTCTGTGACCCAGCAGGAGGGATTAATTTTTGTCTTTCTCTTTCTCTCCTAGTGATGTTTAAAAGCCACCTGAGCTGCAATGGACCCCTGCCCCCTTTCCCTTCCCTGCATTGGACTGGGCTGGCTGGTTACTCAGTAACAGGTCATAGCTTAGCACACAAACGTGTGTTCCTTCACATAGGACTCTCCCTGCAGTGTGGATGAGTTTAGTGGTGCCGGGTGCGTGACAGAAAAATCTCATCTGGACTTGTCAATAGAGAAGTTTGCAAAGGTGTGTGTGAAGCAGCAGGTTCTGGCATGCCTCGGGAAATGGCTTTCGTGTTCCGCTTGGATCCCGTCACACCACCCTTTAAGGCCTCTTTATACTGCCAAAGTGGAATAAAGGAGCCTCAGCATAATGCGACTCAGGCTATTTGTCTCTCTTCTCAGCACTACAGTGGTGTAAAGAGGGCTGGGTAATTGGGAATTTGGGCCTAGGCCTACTGCTGATACACTGCAAGGACTATGGGCGAAGGTGCCTAACCACAATCTCCCTCTATGTCCGCACTGTGTGATAGGCGATGCCTTTCCTGACCAGCTCTTCCCCCGAGACCCACACGCAGGTCATGCCCACAAATCATCCCCATCACTGGCTTTCCTCACCAGGGAATTAACAGCACCGTCACAGAAAGGTCAGCCCGCGCCTTCTGATCGCTCTCCTTTACACTGGCATAATTCCAGGGTCATTCCTGATTTACACAGCGGTGAGGAGAGGAGAATCAGGCCCATTTTCCAGACTAAACAAACCCAATTATTTCAGTCTTCCCTCATAGGTCATGTTTTCTAGACCTTTAATCATTTTTGTTGCTCTTCTCTGGACTTTCTCCAATTTGTCCTCATCTTTCCTGAAATGTGGCACCCAGAACTGAACACAATACTTCAGTTGAGGCCTAATCAGTGCAGAGTAGAGCAGAAGAATTACTTCTCGTGCCTTGCTCACAACACTCCAGCTAATACATCCCACAATGATGTTAGCTTTTTTTGCAACAGTGTTACACTGTAAACACATATTTAGCTTGTGGTCCACTAATACTCCCAGGTTCCTTTCCACAGTACTCCTTACTAGGCAATCATTTTCCATTTTGTATGTGTGCAACTGATTGTTCCTTCCTAAGTGGAGTACTTTGCATTTGTCCTTATTGAATTTCATCCTATTTACTTCAGACCATTTCTCCAGCTTGTCCAGATCATTTTGAATTTTAATCCTATCCTCCAAAGCACTTGCAACCCCTCCTAGCTTGGTATCATCCGCAAACTTTATAAGTGTACTCTTTATGCCATTATCTAAGGGTATGTCTACACTACAGGATTAATCCGAATTTAGATAAT